CTTCACACTTATCCTTGCAGGATTTCCAAATATTCTGGGAGTTAGAAGTTCGGAGACTGCTATCCTGGCAGGTGTTGATGATATACTGTTACTGTTATATATTTTGTAAGAGCAATTTTATTAAAAGTTGAACCTTATGTGGCAGTATTTCCCTATCTTTAGTTTTTTTCTCTGCTTCCATATATACAATTTAGAAAGAGAAGACAGCGCATACCCTATAGTGCAAGCATGTCAAACTAAAACGCTAGCAAGGGCCAAATAAACATGGTTTAAATTAAGTTTATGTGGGCCGCAAAAAAACAAAAACTTTTCATAGAAACGTAGGTTTATTTTGAAAAGTACAGTACAAAAAAAAAAAACAGCGACCCCCTCTACTAAACCCTCTGTCCCATGTCTACTAAACCCCAGCCCCCCTATGTCTAATAAACCGCAACCCCCCCTCGTCTTCTTAATCCCAGTCCCCCCCCTCGTCTACTAAATCCCAGCCCGCCTTCGTCTCCTAAATCTCAGTCTCCCCACGTCTACTAAATCTTAGTCCCCCCTCGTCGACTAAACCCCTGCCCCTATTTAAAAAAACCAAAAAAAATTAGCCAACAAGCAGTGTCTGGAGTTCAGCCTCTGGTATATCCCCAATGAAGTCCAGCGTCAAATAAGATCCCCAGAGGAAAGCATTAAGTAATGCTTTCCTATGGGCGGATTTGAATGCATGCGCGCCTCTGGCCACGCATGCGCATTCAGCTCCACTGAAGAGCTGACGCCGATGGAGGAGGAGAGGTCACTGAGGGAGCCCGGAGCTGGATTAAGGATTAAAGTGGCTGAAGGGGTTTCAACCCCTTCAGCGCCGAGGGAGGAGGACCCAGAGGGAGGGGGGCACTATAGGATCCCTTTAAGCCCCTTTAAAAGAGCTAAAAAAATTTTTTCCCCATGACAGGTTCCCTTCAAAGCATAAATAAGGGACATTGTTGCATTCCATGCATCTAATTCACTTCTTTGAAGACGATTAAGCCGTTTGGTTTTATTTTGTCCCACACACATTTTAAGCTACAATGGGATTGAGCCAGGGCACTCTTGGTACTATAACCACTACAACAGACTGGGCTGTAGTGCTTAGAGTATTGCTTTAATGGCTGCAGAGCATTACGTGGGGTGTGGGTTTCCCCAGTTGAGGTTTGATGTTACAGCTTACAGCTGAAATATCTGAGACATCCTGGGCCAGATGGTGGATGCGGTCTAGGCTTCCTGAAGTTCTGCCAGTTATCTTGCTTCCTGATTCATACTGTGACCTACTTTGCCTCACTACTTCCCTGACTCTCGTCTGCCTGTCTGAACTCTGCTCGCTTGGACCTTTTGCCAGTTTATTTCCTTTTCCAACTACTGACCCCATCTTGCGTGTGACATTGTGTCCGTCCAAATCTCTTTTCCTTTCCTGAGATCCGATGCTTACCTTCCTTCCCTCAGCATTGTGGGTCTGCCTTTTTGGCACATGAAATATTATTTTAAACTCTTTCTGCTGTAAGCCTTGTCTGAATAGACATTTCCATTCCCTAGAATTGGAACTCAGAAGTGTCACGAGAAAATGAAGCATACCGTGTTAATCATCTATCAGGGGGAAGGATGAGGAGTTTCTTAGAAATAAGAATGTAGGAACTAAGCTGCATGAACACTTAAAGCAAAAGTTCACGTGGCTTTGTGGGTGCTTTTAGTGGTATCTACATTTTGTGCTCATAATCTACGTGGGTGTACATTACACCATTTTAACACGGGCGCTGTGATGTAAATTTCAAAGTAGAAAGAAAATGGGGTAGACACAAGTATATAATTCTAACCAAGCCACTAGGCTTTCACAAAACGAAACAACACTCTATCCAAATCCGTAAACCAGTCCTGGACCTTAAACCTTTGCCTAGTCCGTTTTCTGCCTGTTTGTGATGTACGTATCAGTCCCAATTTGCATTTAAAACATTCAAATACACCGGGTGTCCTGTGATCATATCTTGGTTGCTTAAAGGACAACTGTAACCACATTTTCACTGCTCATATTATAAACATTTATTATACATTTAGTTACATTTAATGATTTAAATATATATATATATATATATATATATATATATATATATATATATATATATATATGTATATTGACTTTTTTTGGGAGAAAATTTCACTTTTTTTAAATCATGTCAACCATGTTGGGACAGACTCTACTGTTATCTGACCAACTGCTGCCCGATTACCTAACTTGCCTGCTGCTGTAGGTTCACACAGAGCAGCAGCAGCCATGTTAGGTTAAAGGGACACTATAGTCACCTGAACAACTTTAGCTTAATGAAGCAGTTTTGGTGTATAGAACATGCCCCTGCAGCCTCACTGCTCAATCCTCTGCCATTTAGGAGTTAAATCCCTTTGTTTATGAACCCTAGTCACACCTCCCTGCATGTGACTTGCACAGCCTTCCATAAACACTTCCTGTAAAGAGAGCCCTATTAAGGCTTTCTTTATTGCAAGTTCTGTTTAATTAAGATTTTCTTATCCCCTGCTATGTTAATAGCTTGCTAGACCCCACAAAAGCCTCCTGTATGTGATTAAAGTTCAATTTAGAGATTGAGATACAATTATTTAAGGTAAATTACATCTGTTTCAAAGTGAAACTAGGTTTTTTTTTCATGCAGGCTCTGTCAATCATAGCCAGGGGAGGTGTGGCTAGGGCTGCATAAACAGAAACAAAGTGATTTAACTCCTAAATGACAGTGAATTGAGCAGTGAAATTGCAGGGGAATGATCTATACACTAAAACTGCTTTATTTAGCTAAAGTAATTTAGATGACTATAGTGTTCCTTTAATGACAACAACATGGCTGCTCAGTCGGATTAAAAAAGTGAAAGTTTTACAATAAAATACATAGCTTTTATTTAAAAAGATTGTTACAAATAGATAAATATACAAAAGAAAAACTATCTCATGGAATTACTAGGCGTGGGTGTTCGAGAGAGAAAAAAAAAACAACTAATAAACTATTCACCACTAAATCATACACATAACAATATACTACAATCTGCTGTTAACAAATGCTTGATTGCAATAATCCAATATACAGATATTATCACCACTGATAATTCAATAACGGGAACACATTGTTCCTAAAGCCCTCATTTCATTTAGAGTTTAGATTTCACCGCCCTAGGTAGCAGGAGTCCCTTTATTACAGCTGTTACATTATAAGTCGCCTTTTGTTACATTTAGTAACATTTAAAGACATTGTGATTACGGAAATTGCTCAAGTCAACATACAGAACTGTGGCTGTGAAATTTGTTCTAAAACTGTGTGACTTACAATAAATGAACTGGGAGATTTTGGAATAAGTAGTTCCCTTTATTGAATTATCAGTGGTGAGAATATCTGTATATTGGATTATTGCAATCAAGCATTTTTTAACAGTATGTTGTAGTATATAGTTATTCATATGTTTTTTCTCTGTAATTGCATGAGATAATGTTTCTTTTGCATACGTATCTATTTATTCACTTGCGCCTTGTAAAGGGGCTTTTAAAAAAAAAAAATGTATTTACTAGTTGAGGATGGAGGTTAGACTTTTATTATTATGATATTTATAGAGCGCCGTCAAATTCCGCAGCGCTTTACAATGGGTGGACGAACAGACATGTAGTTGTAACCAGACAAGTTGGACACACAGGAACAGAGGGGTTGAGGGACCTGCTCAATGAGCTTACATGCTTTGTTCCTAAAGCCCTCATTTCATTTAGAGTTTAGATTTCACCGCCCTAGGTAGCAGGAGTCCCTTTATTACAGCTGTTACATTATAAGTCGCCTTTTGTTACATTTAGTAACATTTAAAGACATTGTGATTACGGAAATTGCTCAAGTCAACATACAGAACTGTGGCTGTGAAATTTGTTCTAAAACTGTGTGACTTACAATAAATGAACTGGGAGATTTTGGAATAAGTAGTTCCCTTTATTGAATTATCAGTGGTGAGAATATCTGTATATTGGATTATTGCAATCAAGCATTTTTTAACAGTATGTTGTAGTATATAGTTATTCATATGTTTTTTCTCTGTAATTGCATGAGATAATGTTTCTTTTGCATACGTATCTATTTATTCACTTGCGCCTTGTAAAGGGGCTTTTAAAAAAAAAAATGTATTTACTAGTTGAGGATGGAGGTTAGACTTTTATTATTATGATATTTATAGAGCGCCGTCAAATTCCGCAGCGCTTTACAATGGGTGGACGAACAGACATGTAGTTGTAACCAGACAAGTTGGACACACAGGAACAGAGGGGTTGAGGGACCTGCTCAATGAGCTTACATGCTAGAGGGAGTGGGGCAAAATGACACAAAAAGGTAAGGATAGTATTAGACTAGTGACAGTTGCAGAAGAGGAATCCACTTTATCCACTTTCTTTTTCCGTTCAATCCTTTCCCTGCACTTTTGAAATTTAAAGATAAGTTTTACTTATTTTGTTTTCAATATAATATTAAAAAGATCATTATGTTTCATTAAAATGTAATAAACTATTAAAAAACTAGAAGTGAAAATGTGATTACAGCTGTACTTTAATTCTCATTCAGTGATTGATTGCAACGTTGCTTCTGCATCTGGACTATCACAACCTGTGCTTGTACCCTGATAACCCTTTTCCCCATGTCCCTCGCTCCTCTTGTATCAAATCAGATTTCTGATCCCTGCTTTGTCTGCTTGTGTGAAAGTAATCTGCCCTGACCAGTACAAGAATCCTGACCATCAGGTTGTTTTGTGTTATGGGAAGAATAGCTTGTTATGATTTGAGCGGAAGAGAAAAAGTAAAAGAGTATATAGACATTTATCATGCTCCAAGAAAACCCAAGACATCCTTATAAAATAACTCCATGCGTGAGATGAAAGTGTATTCTAGCTCAACAATATAAAACAAAGTTGGAATTAAAAGGTATCCACAGAATGATGTATCCACAATTCTCAGGCAGAAGAACGATGTTTAAAGGGACACTATAGTCACCTAAACAACATTAGCTTAAAGGACCACTATAGTGCCAGGAAAACACTCGTTTTCCTGGCACTATAGTGCCCTGAGGGTGCCCCCACCCTCAGGGACCCCCTCCCGCCCGGCTCTGGAAGGGGGAAAGGGGTGAAAACTTACCTTTTTCCAGCACTGGGCGGGGAGCTCTCCTACTCCGATCCTCCTCCGTTCCTCCCCGTCGGCTGAATGCGCACGCGTGGCAAGAGCTGCGCGCGCATTCAGCCGGTCACATAGGAAAGCATTGTCAATGCTTTCCTATGGACGCTTGCGTGCTCTCACTGTGATTTTCACAGTGAGAATCACGCAAGCGCCTCTAGCGGCTGTCAATGAGACAGCCACTAGAGGATTTGGAGGAAGGATTAACCCATTTATAAACATAGCAGTTTCTCTGAAACTGCTATGTTTATAAAAGAATGGGTTAACCCTAGCTGGACCTGGCACCCAGACCACTTCATTAAGCTGAAGTGGTCTGGGTGCCTAGAGTGGTCCTTTAATGAAGCAGTTATTGTGTGTAGATCATGCTTCTCAGGTTTTACTGCTCAATTCACTGTCATTTAGGAGTTAAATCAATTTCTATCTGTTTATGCAGCCCTTGCCACACCTCCCCTGGCTCTGATTGACATAACCTGTATAAAGAAAAATCAGATGTAATTTGCCTTAAACGATTATATCTCCTTCTCTGTAAAATAAACTTTAATCACATACAGGAGACTCTTACAGCTATTATTATAGCAGGGGATCAGAAAATCTAAATTAAATAGAACTTGCAATAAGGGAAGGCTAAACATTAGATCTCACTTTACAGGAAGTGTTTAGGAAGGCTGTGTAAGTCACATGCAGGAACAAAGTGATTTAACTCCTAAATGGCGGATAATTGAGCATTGAGACTGCAGAGGCATGATCTATACACCAAAACTGTTTCATTAAGCTAAAGTTGTTTTGGTGACTATAGTTGCCCTTTAAGTAAGAGTCAAGTTTAGTGTGACACCATATTGAAAATATCACTGGAGTATTTAATTATTATTATTATTTTTAATAATTTTTATCCTACTTTATTTTTGTTGTACTTGGAATGACAGTAGGCTTGCTCAGGCACTATAGCAGTCGCAAGCAGAATGATAACAGGCATAATAAGCATGACATGGCATTTGAATAGACAGCACAATTTTTTAGTTTATGATGATAGAAGGGGTAGACAGTGGAGAGACAAAACATGTTATAAGATGCAAGCTTTTCTTACTGTCTGTGGAGATAATGTAGGTTAAAGTTCAACGTTTATAGTGCATGCTAGGAGAATTAAAATTTTAACGTTTATATATGAATAGGCTTAGACATATTTTTATGCAGGCAGGGTCATTTCTTAAGATGATACTGCACAATTATTTAAAGTTAATTACTGAAACTCGTTTACTGAGTATGCCAATGACAATGTGTTACATGTTCTGGCGTTTAAGGGGTGGAGCTTTGAAAAAGTGAAGGCAATGCTTTAGGATGATTTGAGCTTAATGGCAGACATGTTAACTAAAGCAATGTAAAAGACAAAGTAATATTGGTAATTTAGTCCAAATGTACGTTTCTAGTATTCCGTAATGGAAAGAAGAGCAATTAACCATTAAATTGCCTATGAATGCCAGAAGGACACCATATGATGTGGTTACCGCAAGCGTTGCATGCGTGTTGAGTGTCCCTGTGGGCTGCTTAGCCGATGTCATGCGATGGGAGGCTGCAGAGACGTAATTGCCAGAGTCCAGCTAACTTTATGTGAGGGACCGTCCAGTTCTGGGTTCTCTGTTTCAACGGAGGTCAGCGAGTGGAGTAAAGGGTAGTGCGGCAGTAGTTGAGGTCCACTGATTTTTCTTTTGCTTTATCTGCGTCCAGTGCGATGAAGGGCAACGTGCTTTACGCGGCTGTCTGGCTCAACCTGGTTGGTTTCTCGGTGTGTGGAGGTTTCGCAGCATTCTACGTCTTTGCTCTGGTGTGTGGTATCCTCTTGTGTGTTTGTTTGTAGGCGGAAGATATTTCCTTCTGCGGCGCCATCTTGGAGCACTCTTAAGTTAGGGAGTAATTCGCTTGTGGCGGGTTTCTTGGGTTTCTTGCTACGTGAGTGTGCGCTTGCTTTGATCTGCCATGCCCGGTTCTCTAGCTTCGCCCAAAAGGCTTCAAAGATGGCATTTAGCCTGGTCAAGTAGTCCGGTACCTCTGTGTAGCAATCTGATGTGCACGTGGCGTCCGCCATTATGTGGTTCTTTGTGTCTGGGTGACGTTTCTGCGGGGCGTGCAGTTTGCATCCGCTGTGGCCCGGTTGCTTCCGGGGTTTGGACCGGGATTACCCCCACCGGTCCTGGGGTAGGGTGGGGTGGGGGGGATGGACTGTCATTCAGTGTCTCTGCTACCCCGGTGTTGGGTCGGAGAGAGCGGCCGCCTCTCCCCAACTCCATCCACCGTGGGCCACAAAGTGCCTTCTCAAAGTCACAGTCGTTGAAGGTGCTCTTGTTAACTGCCATTTTGGGAATAAGAAGGATGTTTCTTTTAAAACTAGCTGGCATAATTAAAAGTAGTTAAAAAATGATTTTTTTTTTGGCTTTACTTTGGATTAACAGCAGTAAAAGAGATGTGTTAATGACTGAACTTGATGAACTTGAGTCTGTTGTTCAATCTACGTTAATTTGGTTAAATCATATGGTCTAGAAAAGATCTAAGCTGGACCACTAGACCTTGGAGGGAGCATGGTTGACATTTAAAGAAAAAAATGTATGTAGATTAACAAGCATATGATGTTTAGAAAATACTAAGAGCTTGGCATTCCAAGCCATTAAATGTATAGCCTATGACATTAATACATCATTACAAAGTATTGTGTAGGCTGAAAGAGCGTATGGGGATAGAGAATCCCATTGTTATTAAAAAGACGTACTTTGTATTCTCTGTTTCCATTGAGGATTCCATGGCAAAGCTATATGTAAATACAGAAAGCTAAACGAATAATGCGAAAGGCAAAAAAAAAAAAAAAAAGCCCAACAAATTGATCTGTAATCCTCTGTCGGGACAGATTACGCTCAACAGCTGCTTCACCTTCTGCGAAATCTTTATCCATAATTATCTTGTTCCGATCGAATGCATAGACGGCAATTGCCAGCTCCACCAAATGAATATAGTAAGAAAAAGAGGGGAGGGAACAGCGCTACAGTACTGATCACAAAGGAGGATAAAGCTGCACACCTGAGAGGAAGGGTAACCCTCAAACCCTTCCGAAAATGGAGAGAACAAGAGACAACAAATACAGGGTGCGCTTGATAAAATGAAAGATGGTAAAAAAAAAAAAAAAAAAAGTCTCTATAGGTCTACACTGTACCTATAGAGACTTTTTTTTTTACCATCTTTCATTTTATCAAGCGCACCCTGTATTTGTTGTCTCTTGTTTTCACCAAATGAATGCTTCTCATTGAGAAGCATTGAATCCAGTGAGAAGCATTATCACCTTCACAACCAGTGACGTCAAGGATATGCTGGCCCACAAATATGCCTGATTGGCAGTCACGGACATAGAATTGCGGTGGCAGGCGGTCACAGTGGTCCTATGACATGACTGACTGTTAATGCCCGTATGCAAAAGTACATGCCAAGATTATGTACCGATCATGTACAATGTTTTACATTAACTGAAAATGGGGGGAAAAAAACACTTCATTGAGATTTGATGGTTAGAATGTCCCTTTAAACCATTCAAACACCTTTGGATTAGGCTGCAAAGTAATACTACCTAACTGCTCGAATGAAATATGTTATATTATAAATAGTGTTGCAGAAAACAAGTGTTAAAAACATACAACTTTGGGGGCGGAGCCAAGCTGCAGACGGGAACGGTCGCATAACCTCCGAGCTCCGGACAAACGACGCCTAAAAGGCCCTAAAACGAAGCCCTGCTGCACCCATAGCGGCATTCAACCAGCTCCCGGGGAAACCCCAGCAAGAGAGCAACAAACTGATGCCTTTTTTGTATCCGCAAACGAGCAGAAAGACCCGACGGAAAACCGGGGCCTACCCTGCCTACCAAGCCACGAGGCTAGCACAAGAACTTACAGCCCTGAGAGTGCACCAGGACGCCTACCTGCAGATTGGGTCAGCTGTGCCTAACGACCACAACATGGGCAGAAAATCCCAGAGACCCACACAGAATACAAGCAGGACCACACAGGACATAGGCGACCTACTGCAAAGACCTATGGCGCCCAAGATGGCGGCCTCGCCAGACCGCACAACTGCCTCCCAAGATGAAGGAGAGCAATCAGGAGCCGAACAAGAACTATTAACCGCTCACCCAATAAGGGATCCACAAACTAACAGCACTAACCTCACACCGGCCACCAAACAAGACATAGCCGACCTGCTGAAAGAAATGAGACAAATGCACGCAGCAGATATGGACTTGCTAAGGACCGAAATGCAGGCAATAATTACACGCACTCAAGCCACTGAAGAGGACACCCTTGACTTGAAACAAGAGGTACAGGGGCTAAAAGAACAAATAATACTCATGCAGACATCCCAATCCAACCTCACTACGAGAATGGACCTAGCAGAGGACCGCAACAGACGCACTAACTTAAAACTGAGGGGGATACCGGATAGTGTGGACTCCACAGAACTAACCCACTACCTCAGACGTCTCACAGCCACGCTCCTACCGCACGCCCAAGCCAAAAAATTCACACTAGATGGCTTCTTTAGGATCAAAAAAGCAAGACAAGCTCCAGCCACAGCTCCACAAGATGTCATCATTCGGTGTCACTCAGTGGCAGACAAAATCAAGATCCTTACAGCAGTCCGGGGAAGGACACCACTTGCATTTGAATCATCCCACATTACCTTCTATCAGGACTTAACAAGAAACACGCTGTTGTGGCGCAGGTCCCTGGCACAAGTGACAAGCAGTCTGCGCGAAGCTAAAATTGAGTACAAATGGACTCTACCAAGGACTCTGACTGTTACCAAAAACGGTACCACACACAATCTATCCTCACTACAGGAGGCAGAACAGTTCCTACGCGCAGTGGGGATTCATGCCGGATCCGCAGCACAAGAAACTCCCACATCTTCGCACACCTGGGATCCTGACAGAACAACTCCATTCATCCCCAGGAATAGAGAACACCGGAGAGAACCGACCTGAACTGTAAAAATTGTAGCCAACACGCATACAATGCATTAACTGGTTCCGGCCTCGCCTTCTGTTTTACCCTTAGTTTCTTATGTTGTTTTCACTGTTTAAGTTTCTCAATGTATTACTGTAACATATGCACTTATACGACTAACTATACGCGACACTATAACTGCTGCCGTCATGACATCAGACAAGACCTACCCTGAAAAAGCTCCAGGGAGAATACACCTCCTCCCACCCCCCCCGTGACCCCCTTGGTAAGGAGTCAATTCCCAACCCACTGGACGATCGCTGAGGCACACATAGGCTCAAAGAGCGACAACCCCCATATACATGTATACCTATACACAACAGACACGCGCTGACACACGCGGACTTCATAGCACTCACCTGTGGACACGCACATCACTGAGGACAACCATTCGTACACACAATTAACCCCTTCCGGGAACATGTAAGGGGGCACGAACACGCAACCAACCAACCCCAAATAGACAACCCTTGGGTTCTTTACCCCCCCACACCAATACAATCCTAGCACTGGAGGGAAAAAAGACACACTCAAAAATTACTCCAATGTTGCCTCAGTTCGACACCAACTGACCCACAAATTATTTTAAAATGTGCAGAACTAGCTGACACCACAGATTAGAATCGACAGACTGCTATGTATGCCTAAACTACGTTGTGATGTCATGAACCGTTTTGAAAACCCGGAAGGCTGTTGTGGCCATACGGGTAGTTATGTAACTAACCTTGCACGCAAAAATAAAGAATTGCAAAAAAAAAAAAAAACATACAACTTTACTAGAAGCCTTAGAAACCATAATGGGCCTATGATTAATTGCCTTTGGCATGAATCACGTAAGGCAGTGATTAGGATCTTTTACGGTGTTCCAGCTCGTTATTATAAAAAAATCATAAAAAGCAGCGTTGTTCCTAAAGAGGCGTTCTAGGCACTATGACTACTACAACCCATTGTAGTGGTTATGCCGCCAGGAGCCCTATGATACCATATCACAAGAAGCAGTCAAACTATTTCTGTAGAGTTTGACTCATACCTGGGTTCCTTTTGTCCCTCCAGTCCAGAGTGAGTTTCCATATCTCATTTATTTAAAGCAGAAGTTCCCTATTTAGACAAAATTCATTGAATGAAAGTTTGAGGTAATGAATTAGAAACATGGGTGAAGCTGGCATCACGAATACAGAGGTAGGGGGTGCACAGGGGACCTTAGTAAGCATCAAACCATTAGACACCGATTTGACTATGTTCTATGGGTCGGCGCCATGAGATTCCAGACACCATAATCATAATATATTAATGCACTGATCATTTTGTGTGCACAGTGCACACAGCAGAATCAGTTTTTCTATTCACCCTAAGTTGCCTTTCCAGGGCACGTAGTCAACAGTTTCTGACTGGTTTGATGACCTACCTGGAATACACCAAGTGCCCATCACCTCTTCTTCTGGAACCCAGAAGCTGGATCTCCTAAAAAGATCTATTGTTAATGGCCAGCTCAATAACTAAGACCACCAGTTGAGCTTTCTCAGCTGGCCCCATGGGACTTAGCCCGGTGCTGCAGCTTCCAAGCTGCAGAGGAGGAGTTGTTTGGTGACTAGTGAACCCCAAAAAGTTGTCAAATCATTCACAAACATTTTGACTACTTACTGCGGGAGGGTGCTAGTACACTCCTGGTACAATAACCACTACAGTATGCTGTAGTGATTATGGTGCTTAGGGTGTGTATTTAACGGGCACCTCTTACAATCTACTAAACTGAAAGCAAGTTCGTCAAAGGTAAATGTAAAACTGAGAATAATTCTGCATAATTCAAGACATATTTTTTTCCACTAAGCACCACTCTACTGTTATCTTAAGTTCATCACAAAGTGAATTACTCACTTTACTAGCAACATGTGATTTATTCTCAATAAAATATTTGAAGAGTAAAATAATAATGGAGTCACATTTATTAAACTAGGAGTTTTAAATCTGTCATTTGGGAGTCTCAGATCCGAGTAAAATATAAAGGAGATAGCTCCAGACGTTGTGATGACCCTGAGAATATACAAATCCTGAGACATCGGGCCAAACCCAGAGAGTTCACAGGTGTAGTAATTACAGAAGAAAATCTGTAAAAGTTTAGATGTGCCTTTATGAGCATTTCATAATGTTGTTTCCCACAAGTAATGCTTGAATTATAAATACCCTTGAAAGAAGCTTTTAAGTCATACTGCTTTTAGTACAATATGAGTTGACTGTCTGCTTGTCAAGCTATTATTGTTCTATGACTCCTTTACAAGAAAATACGAACAAATCTGGATAATCCCCTGGAATTATGGAATTTAGTAATGAGTGTTTTATTGGATGCACCAGTAGCAGCTAACCTCGACAGCAAAGTTTCTGAAGTTGGGTTAACAAATATCTGGGACATCACAGTTAGCCACCATGGTCGGACAACATAATAAACCATTCTTGAATCTACTTTTTGAATATACAGGTCTACTCGTGTAACTAAAGTGCTAGAATTATATTTACAGATTTTATGTATTTTTTTTTTATATTTACCTGTATTATGAAGTTTATTTACTAAGCAGTGATTGATATTAAAGAATTGTGTTCAATTAATGGAGTCAAAATGATGTAATTAATTAACTCGACTAACTTGTTTGTCAACAAACAAAATACATACACGGATACAAGTAATATAAACATGTGAAGGATCTCTTGTACTTACCTGTGTGCCTTCAGTTATGTCCTCTCCCTGCTGTTTAAATGCTTGTATTCAGTTTGTTTGATTATGTATGTGAAAGCTTGTATTCGTCTACCGAATGCGAGACCACCTACCCTGGGTAGCAATCAGCATTAGAACGGGGAGAAAACCACAACTTGATTGCTCCTGGGTGGCCGCCGTTCGGCATACGAACACGTGGCGAGAACAAAGGATGGCGGCCATCTTAAAAGTCACTAACGCGGTCAGCGGGCGTACGCATGAATTGCCTGGAACTATTTTCGGCAAGGCAAACATGCGAACGCCCGGTCTTCATGGAAGTCCTGGATGTATACGTTCCCCTCCACGAATCAAACTGGCATTCGGTAGATAGAATCTACCGAATGAGGGGAACATTCGTATGTAACCAGCTGCACCATACGAACGGTGGTTTTCGTGTAGTTAGATGCAAACAGAGACCGGCTCTTGCTACTGATTCTATGGAACTCTAGCTCAGATACCTCCACATGGCGAGCCGGTCAAACTTCCACAAGATGCAACACGGAAACTACCGAACGGAAATTCATGAGATTTGGATATATGACTACCAGTATCCTCAGCTACCCAGGGATGTTAAAATTATGTTTGTATGTATTATAAAAAGTACTTTTCTGAAATTGTTAAAAACTGTAATGTTTCTGGCCAGCAGATAATTGAGCTTTGTGTATTGTTGAAACTCAATTATCTAGCCTGGCACAGAGGAGGAGTTTTGTATTGCATAAATTGTGAGTCCTGTGTGCCAGTAAATCAGTCTTGTTCCAGCATTAAGCCTTGGCTCTTGTGTGGATTATTCGGCGATTCCAGGGATATTTCTACTTGTGGAGTATTGGGTGATTTTCTTTTATGGGAAGAAGGGAATGCTTGACGGTGAAACTGTACACTAAACATAAAAACAATTCAAGTCCATCACACAATCTGAAGTGATTTATAATAATGCCAAAAAAATAAAGAAAAATATTTTTAACTCCAAAATTCAAATTAGATTTCTCTTTGGATCAATGACTGTACCATACCCAAATACAAGCAACAATTCATAAGAAAATAAATCAATTTGATGTTATTAATATTAGGATGTGTTTCAATAGACAAGATAGACATTTTAAAGTTGTTGTTTTTTTTAACCTACCAGAAGATAACTTCTAAGATGCCCTAGACATGTCACAGGTTTTGGGTGCCACCTTTATTCTTCACATAGGTATAGCAAATGGGGCCCAAGCAAATTCATGGTTATGATGCTCCTGTCTAACCCAGACTATGGTCAATTTATGGCTAATCCTGCTTTTCGTGAATACTAGAGTAGTTCTTTTAGCATAGAGTATCCCAATGATGGATCATTTAGTTACAGAAATTGACAACAAAGGCATTCACCAATGTATGACATTGATTTAATAGAGAGTGGATTGTAAGAAAACCATATATCACATCACCACACTCACTTGAAAATGCTCTGAAATGTGGAGCATGGACACAGACATGGCTAATTTTAAGGTACAATTAGGGATTATTCTAGTTTACAGTGAACGAATAATCTAAATTTTATTAAAGACAGGAGGCGAATATTTGCTTATCTTTCTTTACTGAAAACTCCCAGCAGCAAAGAAATAATTAATAAAGTTGTAAAAAATTCAACCAATCATAACACAACATAGAGCAGTATAGTGCCACCAGACTCCTCCCACTTCCTCTTTCTTAGGTGGTGCCGAACAGGATAGGAGAAAAACTTGTAAACTGGAAACATCCTGCGGTTCAGTCCATAGCAAGTCAACCATGTAAACGGGTAGATGGAGAGGTTAATCCGAAGATTTCACACTAGGAGAGAAGAAAAGAGACTTCGTGAAAGTATGGTCTCTTGAGAAAGAGAAAAGTAACAATACGCATCCTGACTGATTTAAGCACAAAGTGGTACAATGTGGAACAGGAATGTCATGCTACCAGATCAGTGTTAATTGTATGCCTACCAAACAACTGCAAGGAATGTACAAGTTTGCCTTCGGTGTATAGTAAGTGTATGCGTACAAAATCAATCTGCAAGGTAGTGTACAATGCAGTAATTTCAGAGTGAGAACTTACCTGTAGGGTGGGTTCCAGAATGAACGAAGGGAGGGAAAATATTCGCCTCCTGTCTTTAATAAAATTTAGATTATTCGTTCACTGTAAGCTAGAATAATCCCTAATTTTATGGCAAGACAGGAGGCTTCATATTTGCTGTTTTAACGCTCCTGAATAAAGGAACAAGCCGCATGTGGTGTTGGTTTAAAATAAAAGGTGCGAAAAGTAGATTCTCTAGACCAATCTGCGGAGGCTAAAATATCCGCCAGTGAGCCGCCTGCGCGGAACGCAGAGGATGCGGCCGCTCCCCTCACGGAGTGGGCTCCGAAAGAGCTATCAATCCCTGCTTGGGTAAGCAACCATCTCGCCCAGCGTGCAATGGTGGGGGAGGAGACCGGTTTGTGAAGTTTAACGTAAGAGACAAACAGAGGTCCGGTAGGGGGACGCAAAGAGATAGTGCTGTCAATGTAACAACGGGTGCACAGGGCCACACAGAGTGACGGCCTATCGGGAAAGTATGGATAAAAGACTGACGAAGAATTCGTCTTAGTGCGTCTAATAATGGTAAATCTGACACCGTCTGGAGCAAAGGTGACAGCGTGAGAGTCAAAAGCGTGAACGTCTGAAACTCTGCGGAAGGACACCAGACACAGTAGCAAGGCCAATTTCGCAGAGAGTTGGCGTAAGGACAAGGCCTCGTTAGGTGGCCAGGAATCCAACAGTGTGAAAACCTGAGAGACATCCCAGAACGTAGAGTGTTTGGCAGAAGGTGGCCTCGTCAAACGAATGCCCCATAAAAGTCTGCACACGGAAGGGTGTTTCCCAACCAAGAAATTGTCAATAGTGTCATGGGCCGCCGAAATGGCGGAACGAAAAATATTAATCGATCGGTAAGATTTACCCTGATCGAAGAGAGATGATAAGAAGTTTAAAATGGGAGCGAGAGGTGTTGAAACGGGATCGAGGTCCCTCTCCAAACACCAGCTAACCCAACTCCGCCAAGCGGAGAGGTAGGTCCGTCTGGTTCCTGGAGCCCACGATTCCCAGAGGAGTGTTTGAGCTGTGCGTGAAAGACCTGTGACATGCCAAGCTCCCCTGAAACTGTCCAAGCTACCAGTTGAAGATGGCCCTGTAGGGCCAGAGGATGGAAATCACCCATTGGGTTCCTGAGGACTCGAAAGGATCGAGGAAGAAGGATGGGATAGTCCACTGATAGTTCCAGGAGGGTAGGGAACCAGGTCTGGGCCCTCCATAGAGGGGTGATTATTACTACCCTGACCTCCTGCTGTTTGACCCGGTGAAGGGTCCGTTGAATCATTGAGACGGGAGGGAAAGCATAGGCTCCCTCCCGTGGCCAAGGTTGCAGAAAAGCATTGACTGCCAGAGATAGAGGGTCTGGTAGCCAGCTGAAGAAATCGTCTGTCTGACGATTCAGGCGAGATGCAAAAAGGTTGAGTGTGAGAGGTCCCCGTAGGGAGTGGATGTGATGGAACAGGAGAGGGTCCAATTGCCAGTCGCTGGCATCCCTCCAATGACGCGAAAACCAGTCCACGACTAAGTTGTCGGACCCAGGGAGATACTCCGCTCGGATGGACAGATTTCGGTCCAGACAGAACTGGTACAGGTCCTTGGTGAGGTCGGACAGAAGTTTGGATTTGGATCCCCCGAGTCGGTTGACATACCGCACTGCGGAGACATTGTCCATCCGTAGTACCAGGGAGCAATTGGAGGCATCCTTGGCGAAGCTGCGGATCGCGAAGGATCCAGCAATGAGCTCGAGACAATTTATGTGGAGAGCCTGTTCCGATGGAGACCACAGACCTCCTGTGGACGTTTGGGCACATGTAGCACCCCAACCCAAGAGGCTCGCATCGGATTCCAGAACAAAGTCTGGTTGAGACCCTAAAATCGCTTTCCCATTCCAGGCTTCCATGTTGCGAAGCCACCAATGAAGTTCGATGATAACTTCGTCCGTCAGAGAAATTAATTGATCGTAAGAGGCTGAGCGATGCAAGTAGGTTGTTTTCAACCGCTGCATCGCTCTGTAGTGTAAAGGCCCAGGAAATATAGCTTGAATTGATGCGGATAGGAGACCCAGAATGTGTGCAAGTTCGCGAAGCCGAGGCTGTTGTGCAGAAAGCAACTTTAGGATTTCTTTCTTTATGTGTTTTATTTTGGGGTAAGGCAGCTGCAAAGTTGCCTGGACTGAGTCTATTTGAAAGCCCAGAAACTGGACTACCTGAGATGGTTCCAGGTCTGATTTCTGGAAGTTTATGACAAAGCCAAGGTTTTGAAGGAGAGCAGAGGTCATGTGCGTATGTTTGTGAAGCAAATGTTGGTCTTGGGCCATGATCAGAATATCGTCTAGATATATGATAGAACGTATTCCCCGAGAGCGGAGTAGAGCCATGACCGGCTTCATTAACTTGGTGAAACACCAAGGGGCGGAGCAAAGCCCGAAAGGAAGGCAGGTGAACTGCCAAATTTCGCCCTGCCAGAGGAATTGAAGGAACGCACGGTGACTTGGTGTGATTGGGACCGTGAGGTAGGCATCCTTGAGGTCGAATCTGGAGAACCAGTCTCCCACGCAGAGCAGGTCCCTAAGAAGATGGATACCTTCCATCTTGAAATGGCGATATGTTATGAACTGATTCAGTTCCTTGAGGTTGATAATAGGACGGTGATCTCCCGTCTTTTTCCGTACCAGGAACATGTTGCTGATGAAAGTGTAAGGGAAAGGCGAGGGTTCGATTGCCCCTTTGTCTAATAGTTTGTGCAACTCTGAATCTAAGGTCAGTTTGTCTGTTTGTGACATCCCTAAGGGTGTTGGAGGGTGGCTCTGAGTGAAACCCCTGACTATGTGGAGGATCCAGTGATCCTGAGAGAGTAATTTCCACTGTTGGAAAAAAAGGGTTAGTCGACCTGCAATTGACACATTTCTTAAATAAGTAAGGTCCATTACCTGAAGCAGTGCGTCTGCGCAGGGATGCAGAGCCACGTCCTCGAATAGAGCCTCTGGAGCTGCAGAGCTGTCTGTGGTAGGGTCTTGTGGGTCGGGGCCTATAGCCTGCAAAGGCTGCTCTACTGGTAGCTCGGCCCCTGAAGCGACCAGCTCTCCCGGAAAAACGATGGGTTTGGGAGCGGAAGACCCTGCGTAGTGAGGACTGGGCTTTATTAAGCGTTGTGAATACAGAGACATGCTTAGAGAGGTCTCGCATAAAGCTGTCACCAAATAGAAGACCATCTGCATCTGGTCCCAATTCCTTAGAGCTTAAGTCTATTAATTTAGCGTCAATTTTATAAAGTGACGCTTTTCGTCTTTCTATTGAAATTGCCACGTTTGGGGGGCGTGGCCTGACGCTCAGCCGCGGCGG